TCAAGGACAGTTTGTTTTAGTTTTGTATTTGATTCTGGTGCTACTATCGTTTCAACATTATTTCCTTCAGTTTGAGCCCATTTCTTAACAAAACCATCATTGAGAACAACAATAGCAACAAGACAACTTTCAAATGAATCACCATAAACAAAGATTTGAGAAATAAATCGACTACGAGCATAAACATCTTCAATTTTTTCTGGTGCTACATATTCACCTTGACTTAACTAAAAATAAAAGAAAATACATTATCACTTTATAGTACAATTGTTCACAATAATTTCTAAATATAACTGTTACAGTCGTTATATTTCTCAGATAACTGTGATAGACAGTAACGGATTAAAAAGATCGACTATTTGTTTCTCAACAATAGCATTTTCAAAGTGTTCGATGCTCTGACTACAATAAATTTCGAAAAAGAATTTCAAGTAATACGAACCTTATACATATTTTTCTTTCGATCAATAATTCGCATTGTTTTATGTGGTGTCCATCGGCCAATATCACCTGTATGTAACCACCCTTGTTCATCAATTGCTTCACGAGTTTTAGCTTCATCTTTCAAATAACCTTTAAATACGGCTTTACTACGAACACAAATTTCACCTACACCATCTTTTGCATAATATTCTTTTTCTGGTACATCAACTAATTTAATATGATTTAATGATGTTGGAATGCCTACTTCACCAGATTCCATATCGTGTATCGTTTGAGAACAACCTATGACACATTCTGTTTGACCGTAACTTTCAATAAAAAAACATGAAAATGCTGCACGTGAAAATCGACAGACTTCAGGTGAAAGTGGTGCACTTGATGAAATAACACGAGTAACTTTACCACCAAATGATTGTCGAATTTTATCAAAGATTATCTTATCCCATATTGTATTTTGTGAAAAATCTCCACGTCGAATCAATGCTAGTTTACTGCGAATAGCTAATTGAAATAGAACACGTCCAGGTAAACCTTTTTTACGTAATTCTAATCGAACTTTATCATATAATTTGTTAAGTAATCGAGGTACCATAGTAAGAATTGTTGGTCGAAAATCACGAAAATCATCAACTAACTTGTCGACTTTACCTTGCCAAAAACCAATTTCTCCACCTAAAAAAAATACAATAAATATCTTCCATTGAAAGTAAAATATGAAATATACCTAAATACGTAACAGAAATCATCGCCCCGCAACCAAACAAATGTGCCAGAGGCATATAATTTAATACACGAGGAATTTCTTTACTATCCAATATATCAAGAGCTGATGCCATACCATACATTGCATATATGAAATTATCATGTGTAATAACACAACCTACATTCAAAAGATGTTTAGCTCGTAAAATATAAATGAAAGAAACTATTATCTTTACCTTTTGGTTCTCCTGTACTTCCACTTGTATACATAACCATTGCTATGTCAGTTGGTTTTGGTGGTACAACAGGAACTGGATTATTTCTTCCATTTTCTCGTAGTTTCTCAAACGATATAAGATTTAAATTTTTTTCTTCTGCTAATTTAAATAATTCATCGGTTGGTTCAAGTATAGAAACTACTGTTTTCAATGCTAATGTATCATCTTTCCATTCAAGTAAATTTTTTACACGTTGTAAATCATCAGCAAATACTAATTCAACATCAGCATGTCTGATAATAAATTTCACACCATCTCGACCAAGTGAATCATAAATACCAATAGGGATCATTGAATATGGCCAAGTTGAATAAAGACAAAATGCATAATTCATCGAAGATGAACCATAAATACCGATAAACGTTTTATTTGATGGTTCTAGACCAGTATGAACTATACCACTACCAATTTCTTTAATGATTTCAAATACTTGACTAGATACGATCGATATATATATATATATACTTATTATTTTATTAGTATTTATTACTTACTTATATGTATATGATTTAAATGGTTGATCAGATGATTGTCTATGTGAGAATTGTGGTCGATTACCACCTAATTTAACACCATGTAAATAACATTCGTATATTGTTTTGACATCGAATGTACTTGGATCTTGTAATTTCTCAGCATAATCTGGATGTGCATATATATGTTCATTAACATCAATTTCAACAGCACGTTTTGGTGCTACTGGTCTTTTGAAAATTAATTGAAATAATGAAAAAAAAAA